AAAAACGTACGAAAACTTCCTTTTATCATCTAAATTGTTAAAAAATAATTATTGTTCTATAAATTTACAATATATGTTATATTTTTTTTAATTTTGAATGCCTTAATATTTTTGCAAATCAATTTAACTAATCAAGCTAACCCGAAAACAACGGAAAAATGACCTTGTTAAAATATTTTAATACATAAATTCTTGAAGTTCAATCCTAACTAGAGCGGGGCCCACTGTGCCAGCTACGTTTTTACTTAACGATAATGCAGGGACGTCGGAAAGGGTTAACCCGTTGTTTATGTTTTAGTTGTTTTGCCGGAGTAGTTGTAGGAGCCTGTCTTTTGTTTAAAGATGATTAATAGCCAATGTCGCTGGATGCAGAGCTCGATGCATTTCCATTATCAGCATCATCTCCATTATTATTATCATCATCATCATCTTGAGAGGGAACGGGGCGGTCTCATCATCGTTAGCTTCATCGTCAGCTTTTTGGGTAAATTACTCAACACAGCCAAAACAGTCCACAGGACTTTCCAGGAGCGGTCTGCTGAGGGCCAAGTCAAAGTCGTTTGCTATTCATTAATACTCTTAGTTTTTGCAACTGCTCGAACCTCCTTGGTCTGCCCAGCCGCATCCCCTCGGAGCCCCTTGCTGACCGTGTTTGCATTGGCCAACGAGTTGTCGAGTTCTTCTGGCTGCTGATAATTAGCTGCACTGTCTGTTGTCTGTTGCTCCTCCTGCCCCAGAAGGGCTCCACAAGATCTGCTGCCCCTCCTGGCAGGGCCTCGTTCTTTCTGCAGCTTGTTTTATGTATTTTGTGGCTGCATTACTTCCGTTGATGTTTATTCTTAGAGCTGTTTGCATTTGACAAATGACGTTTTTGGCATTGTGCAACATCAACGCAGGGCTGCCGCTATCTTTTTCTCTGTCTGTCCTCCGACTTTTCCGGGGATCCGTAGGGGAAATCGAAATTATTTTTTGAGTTATTGCAGTTAGTTTGCCAAAGTTTTTGCAGCCCGACGAGATCTTTCTGGACCCCAGCTTGTCAATTTGCTGGTCCCGACAGAGCACACGTGCGATAATTAATTTCACAATTTTAAAGAAGATCCGGAATCTGTACAAGATAGTAATCAACGTTTGCCCCAGCATATTTGGGGTAACCAAGGCATCTCAGGTCCGTGTTTCGAGTGCAACTCGGTGGCCAAAGTATCCTCAAAGCATCCTCAGAAATTATTTATTAAGCCATCCAACTGAAGCCGAAAACTTTTCCCCAGCAACTCGCCCAATTTCTTGTGCTTCTACTTGGGAAAACTTAACTCATAATTTGCTGTTATTTAAAACCATTCATTTCCGCTCATTTTACTATGACTTCCTCGCCGGGCTTCGACCCAGAACCACTCCCACTCCCACTCGGGCTCCCTCTCACAAATTGGTGTCTATTTTTTGATGCGCTTTCTCCCTTCACACTATCGAATTGGGGGTGGTGGGCGGCTGCTCTTTGCCGGGGAGCTGCGTCCTGCTGAATTCCATTAAAAGTTTTACACGAAAAATAGTTGCACACTAAAAAGCTATAACTGTAAAATTATAGTGCCCAGCGCCAGCAAAGTTACCAGCTAGTCGTGGAGCAAATAGCAAGTGCAATAAACTATCAAATGGGCGGCGAGTTCTTGCCTTATTAATAATTTTTAATTTCCTTGATGACTTCCAAGTTATTAAAAACTGCGCCGGCCAGAGGACTCCTTGGACTCCTTCGGGCAACCACTGTGTAACACACTGTGTACAGTTGCGCTGCCAAAGCGAAAGTTCTACCTCGACCGCCATTCGGGCCAACTTGATGATGACTTTTATGCGTATTCCTTTTATTTACATATATAATTATTGCAACGGGACAAAAGCAGCCTTTTGCCATGCCTGTTGGCCCTGTTTTAATTGTCCTTGTGTCCGTTTGTTTATTTGTCCCGTTGCCCCTGGTCCTCGTTTTGTTTTAACGACAGCTGTCAGCCTTTTGCATTGAAGTTGCCGTGCAATAATTGCGAGTAATTTGATTGATTGGTAGTGGTGGTGTGGTGGGGGAAGGGGAGAAAGGGGGCGACCTTTTGGTTGGCAATATGACGAAGTAGCAATTACTGTTTTGCATCGAGGACAGGCCGTAAACCGATGTGCGGGGTTCATTAAGTCGAGTCATCAACTCAAGGAACTAAATGATAAGGAAAGTCCATTTTCACAGCTGCCACTGTCCTTTTTCCAGATCTCTTTCTCAGATCTCGGCACCTATAAGTGGAAAATATTTACTGTCTTTTTTTACAATATCTATAACCGTTTTTTTATCGAACTAAAATGCTTCAATAGTTCTTTTGCTAAATACATACATACCTTATTTATCCCTCTGTGCTCGATTTTTGGCCAGATTGCCAAGCCTGAGACAACTGGCTCATCTTTCCGGGGAGCGGAACCATCTGTGGGCGGAGGATGTTATAATGCCGGAAATCAACCCACAGCCCGCGGCCCAAATGAAGAAATAAATAAAATGCAGTTAATAAATAAACAAATAAATTTAAAATACGTGTCCCAGCACGGTTGCCCAGTGCAAATTTGACCCGGCAGAATCGGGAACTTCGGTACAGGGTGAAGGTGAAAGGTGATGGGCGAAGCGGGCTGGGAGGGGAGCGTTGTTTATACACAGTCGGTCTATAGCTTGAGGCAATGTTTATTTTTGCAAAATATGCTGGGCACATATTTACACAAAGTACATATGTAAGCGCAGCTCGCACACTCACACACACTCAGCCTCAGCCCGGCACGAGTATAGAGCCGTCATGCGTTACCTTCACCCCCTCCCACCTCCTTTCTCTGTCTGCGAGGTAAATTCGTTTTGGCATTTTGGCCTCGGCTTTAAATTGCTTTGGTACTTAAGTGGTTTGTGCTCTGTCGCATCCCTCAGCCACTGGCCGTGCCCCAGCCCCTCCTCGGTGGACCACGTGTCGTCGTTTTGCCGTTCAACGAAAATTACAAAATGTTTGTTTAATTAGAACTTGTGCGTGTGTGCCATATATTCTGCTCACCCCGCCGAGTGATTATTCTAAGCTATTGAAAATATGAGCAAGTTCCACTCGCAGACTTCCTAAGTTTATGCGTTGATGAATTATGAATTATGAAGCGTTGACTCAATTCATGAGATCCAAGGTGCTACGTTTTACGACATTGGTCTCAACCCTTTTGGTTAGTTATCTTTCTTTCCCAAAACCGACACTTGTGTTGTCTGTAATTTCCTTAAAAAAATACCCAACAAATCTTTTTCGATCGCTACTAAGAATTTCATTACTACTTGGCTTCGTTATTGTGTAGAAGATGAAATGAAATTTAAAAATTAACGATAGTAAATGGAAAGTTTCTTTGATTCCATATTCAATTGAGTCCAGGGAAAACATATTTCTTCGTACTCTCAGTAAAAAGAGAACCGACCTTTTGAGCTCTTTGGACATGTTTATTCGAATACTTGCATTTTTTGAATTGGGCATCGCATAAACGCATGCACTGGCATCGCTGAAGAGGTCTGCCTCGGCCCACCAAGCCCATTAAATACGGTCAACTTACCCGGAGAGTGGCCTCTTGTGCGGTTTTTCCACGTGCATATTTCAGCCGAAGCTCGCATTCCGTGCTTCTTTGCCGGGCACACACATTTGTATAATTCAATTCACTTTTTAATTTAGTCCGATGTCGGGGCACCGGGATGGGTTCGTTTGGCCAAAAGTGCTGTGTGGCTTTTGAGTGCTGCGAATGCCGAGTAGGCTGGCGGTGGGGAGCTGTATTAGGTGAGGCTCGATGGCACTTGGGGCCGTGTGGAGTGCTGCCCTCAACCGAGAGCTTCAGCCAGGCGAACGCCAAGCGTCGAAAAATTTGCATTGATTAATTAATCGGCTCTAAGTGCCTGCATCAGATGTGGTTTTCTTGGCATCTATACACGAGTTCTCCCTGAATCTCACACCTGTGTGTCTTCTGTGATTCCATTTAAGGATTTTAGTTCAATGCTGTAAGGCCATTGCAATATTTCCATTAAAAATAATCGAAAGCCTAAAGCTATTCGACCTATAAAGCAGTCGTCTACAAAACAATAGGAGTAACACTTATACGTTTTAAAATGTCAATCTTGATCGAGAAGGAAGGAAGTCTTTTAAAATCGTGAAACCTCTACAAAACAATATATCTCCTCATCCAGATTTTCCCTTTGAATTTAATTAATAATTTAATGTTTATAATCTTTAACAGGCGAGTCGATCTAACCATGCCTGGTCTGTCCGTTTCTATCCAATGTGTCTGCATGAAACTAATATTTTTTTGCGATATTATAACCCAGTAATTTTCTACCCTATAAGTGTAAATATCCACAAAGCAAAAAAGTTTTTATGTTACCAGGATGTAGCCGGAGAGAGTGCTGCACAGTGGGAGGTTGATTTTTTCGGTTGGTGGTTGTGGGGGTCGTTATGCTAAAAAGTTGGACAAGTTTTATGGATAAACCGAACGCAGTTTGTGCGGTTGCTTTGTTGGTGCCTAGCTAATTGCGGATAATGTGCCAGATTTGCTGATTAATTTGTTTTTACCTTTCGTTGCAGGTGAGTTCTACCCTTAAACATTCGTTGAATACTTTTAATGAGCTTGCGGAAGGGTAAAGTATTGAAATCCAAGCAGTCTATGGACCTCGGTCGCTGGCTTGTTGCATGTCAGGGGAGCTGTGTTTCGGTTTGCATGATTCAGTAGCCCAGTATTATTTCTATTATTTTTCTAGTCACTAATCGACCAATAAGTCCCCAAAGCCGTGCAAATAAAGTGCCTCTCGGTCCGAGTATCCAAACAAATCTCCATACAGAGTGATGTCCACAATGAACCTTAGTTTTCGACGTGTTTTGGTGTGCTGGGGAGTTCTATTCCGATTGAAACCGTCCAAAACTGAGGCCAACTGTGAGGCGTGAGCGTCTACCAAACCAAGTAAAAAGCTATAACCACGCAGCGCGTTCCTTTTAATTCATGTTTATTGCTGTTCTCACATAAAAAAAACTGATTATTTATATTTTGACTTTGGTTTTTGGTGCATTCTTGTTCAAGTAATTTGGTATTTGTTTGATTCGTCACGAAGTCCAAGGATATTCGCCATCATATTTCACCACAACAAGTAAACAAATGAAACAATGCAGAAAACGAATGTATTCGAAACCAATAAACAAGCTACTCGATATACTTACCCGATATACCACAGAAATTCAATGCAACAGAAAAAATGCGAATTAAATTTCGCAAATAGAACACAACACTGCAAACAAATGCTCGATCACATTGCAATACAGAGTTCTCTTTCGTTCTTTATTATTGGAACCGTCCTGTTTTGTTTTATGATTTATTAACGGCATTCCAACTCCGAACCATTTACGTTGTTTGCCCGCGCTTAAATTAGCGTGTCAACAGTGCCGGAACCGGGCAGCAGAAAAACCGGAGAGCTGTCGGCAAAAAGTGTTTGTGAAAAGTGATAAATTGGCAGTGCAAAGTGTGCAGTGTACAGTGAGCTCTGCTAGGTGTACAGTGAACCGTGGTTGGCGGGGACAGCGCGGTAATAAAAGAAGCTGCCATTAACGCTTTGATTTATGCATTTTGCAAGCTATTTACTTAAATTTATATGCATTCAATATATCAAATCCTTCCCGTTTCTGTTAAATTACATTTTTTAGCGTTCTGTTACGTACGTTTTTGTTTTACGTTTCTTGTTTTTCTATGTGCATGTGCTCTGTCCCCTTCTGGCTTGCAGTGTGCTCGAATCTGCGAGGATATTAATTGTTGAGCGGAACGAGTTTGGCAAGTAGAAATCGGCAAAAAATATACATTATTACTTGTGCCTTCATTTGTCTACTGGTTCGATGTGTCATCGATAGCTTTAATCCTTGCTATTTATTTGCTCAAGAAATTAAAGGAATCGAATAAAATGGGATAGCCACACCGCAATGTTAATAATAATAATAGTTATAGGGTCTTCCCACTGAGCTTGCATCTGCATCCACCGTCCGTTGAACAAACTGCCCATAAGCTTTTGCCATTCCGAATTTTCTCATTTTGGACCGGCATTAGAGTGCATCTAAACTTAAGGGGGTCTTCTCATTCAAAAGCCGTTTTTTGGACCCTTTTTAATAAAATTCTTATTTGAAAACGCAAAGAATAATTGAAAACTTTTTTTATTTATTGTATTCAAAAATGTTCAAAGTAACTAAAAAAGTTATTCTTTCCTCGATACGAGGGTTGTTCAAAGAGTAATGAGACTTCAAACTTGGTGGTCGAAAAAAAAGGTGTCGTCCTGGCGGCCACGATTCCGGGTCTCCAGAGCGTCCGAAATGAAAAATAAAAACGGGGTTATAATCAGAATAGATGTCATTTTCGGGTGACGGAACAGATTTTTTTTAATTTTTTTAAACAAAATGGCGGCTATTCAAAAAAAAATTTCGATTTCGGGGTTTTTTTTTGTTAGTTTAGTGTAAAAAAAAATATTAAAAAAAATTAAAAAAAAATCTGTTCCGTCACCCGAAAATGGTGACAATTCTGCGTCGATTCCACTTTGTTTCATGAAAATCGGTTGAGTTGAACTGGAGATATCATGGCCGCCAGTTCGAAAAACGTGGTTTCGAGATAAACGCGTTTGAAGTTTGAAAAAAGCTCATTTTGCATAGATCTTGCTTTACAAAAAAGGCCGTATCTTCTAAAGTATTTCGAATTTCTAAAAATCCTTTTGGGGACATATACACACCATCCCAAGCTATAAATAAATGCAAAAAAAAAAAAAAAAATCGAAAAAAAAGTTGCCCAATGAGAAGACCCCCTTAATCACCGTTTGTTTACGATAGTTAGGCTATAGTTTTTCGGTGCAACTCTGATTACTTCTTCTTAATAGTGAAAATTAGACCATTCACTACGAAAATGTAAACAAAGTTGGCGAGGAACAAATGAAAAATGAAATTTAAAATGTGGCACCAAAGCTACAAACATGCCCAAAATTGTTGTTGGTGTTTTTCTGTATATTCTTGCCCTAAAATGTCCCCAATTGCTTCTATTTAATATAAACCGCCTACCTCTACTTTGTTTTATAGATTTTGGAAGCCTATACTCAGCCTTCGGGGCATTTGCTCTTTGTTAGAGAAAAATCATTAGAGAAACTCAAATCCCTCGTCATCTAATTCATTTAAATTTCTGTTGTTAAACAGCCGAAATAGTTGATAAACTATTCATTTTACTCCCACATCGGCCGCTTCAGCCATCTTTGTTTACGTTATCATGAGCCACAGCTAATCGATCAGCTGTAAAAGGATGCGGATGCACTTTGACGCAGCTCTGTGGGAACACGAGTTTCTTTTTTTTTTAATCCCAACCGTTCCACACAAATGCACTGAGTGGGAAGACAGTATTAGAAAACTAAAAAAAATGTCAGCCTAGTCGGTAAAGCCGCTCTTAAGTTATCTCGTGACAACGAGAAACGGTCTTTATTTATACATACATATATGGTTATAGTACTTTAAGCCCTTCACAGGATATAATAATAAGATTCGTTTGAAGTTTCTGCATCATCAATGGATCAATGGAATGGATCTGCCATGTCAATGGCACACTATTCCTCTAGTTTTTTTTAGATAGTTGTATGACGAGCGGGTTGGTGTCCAGGAGACTACCTATAGTATAGGTCTTATACGATACCGATAGCTGATAGGCGATAATTAGGCGATCGACTATTCGAAAACGATGCGACAACGATACCGGTACAGAAGAGAAGAAGATGAGCAACGAGACGCGGTCTGGATTAAAAACGCAGAGATAATTCTATATGTTTTCGTCATGTTAAATTCCGTTAAACATACTCAATACAATTACTCCACCACTCGGAAAAGCTATCCCGTTACAGTTGTAAGCGTTTCCAAACGGGAATAGAGAAGAAACATAACTTCAATGTTTTTCATAATAATTATGAATTTAAGTTTTTCATTTGTTTTACAATTTATAGGACTATATGTGAGAATCGGGGATTAAACTCCAAAGGAATCCAAACTTCAGATTCCCAAAGATAGCTGTCCTTTTTGTTTTCTTTCTGGTTCTGCAAAGAACTCTGTAACAAACTTCCTGATTTGCAGGCCATCAAATATCCGCAGTAATAATATTAATAACGGTGATAATCGTAAAAATGCATCCAACTGCAATTGTGTGGAAACCCCATCGAAAATTTACGACCGAAGCTTATTTTCAATCGCACTTTTTCCCAGTTCCTTCTGTTTACCCGTTTTTCAATGAGTCATGGCAAAGTTGAAGATTCAAATGAGCTTTTAATAGAGAGTTATGGCGGAAATAGTTTCGCACCGAATCGCCGATTCGCATCGATTCGCTTCGATCTGGCTGTGAGTGGGTTAACCCCTCGTAATCTCGTAACTCTGCCGCGGCGGAGGGGAGTTGGAAATTATGGCACAAAGGGAAATGTAAATGCATTTTTCCTTGCCAAATTTATTGCCCAAATAAATTATCGTAATAATATCAAATAAAAAGTGGGGAACAGGGGCCAAAGCTAACGGTTATTAACATATGCACGAACCAAAGACAAGCCGACGTGCGGCTGAGCGAGGGGGTGAATGGGCCAGGGAAGGAATTTGCAGGCGGCTAAGTGGCTCGGAGGTTAAAGGGGACTGAAGGGGCTCGGACGGGGACTCCCTGTTCTGGAACAAAAATCCTCTGCATGCACAATTTAAGCAGGATTTATGGCTGGCAATATTGCGAAGAGCAAGATTTTCTCCAAGCATCCCGCCTGTGTGTGTGTGCTTGGGTGTAGGCGAGAAGGGGGCACGGGGGGCACTGGAGCGAACTGTTCGTCGATTGTGCGTGCGAGAAATTAAATTGCCAAATGGTCATTACCTTGGCGCGCAAGGGTTAAGGACGCCTCTGAGGTTATGAAAATTGCTAAATTATGTTAATCCCCCAACACCTCCTCTGGGTAGGAATATTGAAAGGTTGCCGGGCCTGCTGGCTCGCAGCTCTAATGCATATTTTACCCACACCACCTCCTCCTACTCCTGCCACCTGCCATTATCATTATGCCCGTTGTCCCCGAAATTGATTGAGGAATTGCCAGGCGGGTCAAAGTTTTGGCAGAGTGTGCAGCCTAAAAGCTGGGAATTGGGAAAGGGGAAACGGGAAACGGGAAGGACCGAGCGAGGCCTCACCATTTCTTTTTGCACTTTAACTCGATTTGGGGCCAGGAAGCCTGTCTTTGTTCCGTGACCCCTTTTTGTGCCGGGCTCATGCAAAAGTTATTGCTTCAGACACAACAATGGCAACCCTGCCAGAGACAACGGCATACATGAGCATTGTGCTCTGTGCTCTGTTGTGTCTCTCTAAATATTTAATATATATCGTTGCCATTGGCACTTGCCTGCCGAGGGTGGAGCAGGGTCTGGGGCGGGCTGTGCCTGATTCAATTTTCTTTTGCGAGCTTTGGCACAGATTTATCGCTTATTAGAAAGCATCCTAGTGTCGAAAGGAAGAAAGGAGCGGCTTATGCCTCAAAAGCAGATGATTAAAGAAGGAATCCAGTTGGTGCTTACCCGCTCCGAGAGCCTCTGTCCAGGTTGGACTCTCGACGGTATGCTAAATTAAACCTCTTATCAACTAAAGTTGGCCATAACGAAGGCGCTTCGCTCCGTTCGCTGTCATTTCAAAGTCAAAGCCAACCAGCCACGATTAGTAACACAATCATAAACTTATCCCGGCTGCTGGGCTGGACGAACATCGACAACGGGTTTTCCCTGGCAATATTCCTTATCCGGCATGAAGACCGGGGAGAGCAAGCGCGTCTGACAGTCCATCCCGGGCGTTCAGGCCCTGCCATTATTATGATAAACATAAAGAAGTCTCGTCTTCCTGGCCACCCTTTCGCCCACCTGCCGCATCCCATTTCCAACTTGTTCGCCCGTCGTTTAGGCCATTGAAAAGTTAAGTCGCGTAATCGATTGATTTGCCTGGGCGGTGATTCCGTCCGATTTACGTCTTCAAGGTGCGTTCGAGGCTGTAAACTTTTGCCTTTGCCCTCCTGCGCAGAGCCCTCGCCCGGCCCGTCGTCCTGCGCCCGGCCTTTGTGCTCGAAATTGAGATTTATTGCAGAATTTGAATTATAATGCAATTTATAATATAAAATGGCAGCCGCCGCCTCGGAGATATTGAGCATGATAATGATGATGAAGCTGTGCAAGGGTTTCACAGCCAGCAAAGCCGGGCGTCGTCCTTTGTTGCTAATATTGTTGATTCAATTTGACTTCTGCTGCAAGGATAGCTCGTCCTGCCATCGCCGGCATCATCTGCCGCACAAAAGCCGTTGAAAATCGTTTGGATTTGAGGACGTATTAAAATGACAAGCACTCGGAATTAATTTCGCATTGTCGAGCGACGGCTTCGGCTTCCAGACGTAAGACTACTATTAGCATGATTATTGGCATAAATCAACCGGGGAGATAGCACTAGCACCTTCACAGGCGACACTCCAAGAGAGCCCGAGCTGCTATACTACTAAACAAGTAACCGAATACGGTTGCCTGGCAACAGCCCAAAACAGTAGCAAAATTTAACTGTAAACACTAATTTCCTGTAGTTAATTGCACATTTTCTAAACTTGCAAACTATCAAAAAACAACAGCGAGAGCAAAACAAAAACAACTCTTGAGGCCGAAAGTTTGCTTTCGGTGGGAGTTTTTCGGTCGGTTGCTGTGAGAATTCAATATGTAATTTTGATTGAAATATGCCTGTTTGCGAAGCCCCCAGCCCCAGCCCTGGTACACACATCCAGAAAGACGCATAGGCGGGAGACAAGCAGATCCAGG